ATTAAGGGACCAAATGATTCAGATTCTCATCCATTAAGTGGGCCATAGAGTACATTCTGGAATCACTTTGAAGGCCTATATTTTAAAGACAGATGGAGAGAACAGCCTGATTCCAAGTACCAGAGGAATCTTGAAGACCGCTGGCTTACATACAGGTGGCTGTATCACTCTTTGTTCAAATAATAATGAGTTATTAAAAGGACCAAGTGATTCCAGATTCTCATCTATTGCATTATATGGATGATTTGTTGGGTGCACTTAAATGGCTGATATTTCAAATACTGATTGAAAAAACGGGTAGTAGTAGTACCAATAAAATCTTGAAGACTGCCGTATCACATACAGATGGCTGCAACATTCTTGGTACAAGCATCAATGAGTTATTGAGGGACCAAATGATTCCAGATTCTCTACTATCAATTGAGCTGTAGATTCAGATCTGGAATCACTTTGAAGGCATATATGCAAAAGACAGACAGAGAGAGCAGGGTGATTCCAACATTCAGAGGAAGCTTTTAGAATGCTGTGTCACATACAGGTGGCTGCACCTCCCTAGGCGCAAGTAATGATGAGGTATTGAGGGATGAAATGATTCCAGATTCTCATCAGAATGCAGATTTAGAGAACAAATTCTACATCGCACATATTTGTTTTTAATTGTAAATGGTTGTTGTTCCATTGTTTTTATTTTTATTATTTTTTACATTTACATTGTCAATTGTATTATTTTTCTCTGTTCTTCTGTTATTCTTTCATAACTTCCATTTGCTTATTACATATTTATATATTTCTACATCTATTTTTCTCAGCTGTATGTCTGTCTGTGTGTAGCATCTTATCACCAAAGCAAATTCCTTGTATGTGTAAAAAACTACTTGGCAATAAAGCTCCTTCTGATTCTGATTCTGAAATGGAAGCTAATATGTTGCTGTATAAAACAAAGGTGGCTGCATCACTCCAGGTCTATGTAACAACTGTAGAATAGTAGTATTTGCCTATGTGTGTAGGCCCCTTTGTTAATGAGGAGGAAGGGCACCTTTCAGGCAATTTGGAGTTGGCTGGTGGTTAAATGTGACTCATTTCAGAGAACCAAAGTTTAAGATTTTTCACCTCATGAAGTGTTGTAATTATCTGACAGTGATGAGGGACAGGGAACATGTAGGTGGCATTTTTTTGGACCAAACCTTTCATTAGAAGTGCATAGATTCATAGGAAATTATCCACTTTAAATGCAACATTGTACTTATTAAAGAAAAGTCATACAGAGTGTGCAGGTGTAGTGTATTTGATCATTTCATAATCATTAAGATGTAGGAAAATTTACTCAAATCGTTATAAATAGATCAACATGTCTACATCCCATGTCACAAAAATAGAAAAGAAAACATAAATTCCAAGTTTAAATTTAATAAATAATGATCTTTCCTTCCATGTTTCAATCTATTGTATACTGAATGCCTGTAGATGAAAATTTGGACTTCCTCTGTCAACAGGAAGTAGGAATTGTCCGCAGCAGCATTGAGCACATGGTGAGTCGGCTCTGCATTTTATCGATTTTTCTAATAAAAGGCGTTTATACTTGGTTGATATTGTTGTATTTCAGTGAGAAATATCCCAGTGTCATGTTTTCATGCATTTTTTACTTTTAAAAAGTCACTTTATTGCTTTTTCTGTTGTAAACGAATATATATATATGACATAGATGTAAATGTTGAATGTAAATTTCAATCTACCTTCCACTTAATTCATAAAGTGAAAAAAAAATTAGTAAAAGCTTTCAGCTTTATTTTGTATCATTATATTTGTGTTCTAATTCCTAGTTCATCCAGATTCTGTCCAGAAACAGAAATGTCTACTAGTTTCCAATAACATATTAATTAATGATGTAGTTCTTTTTATGCAGGTGTCAACAGGAAGCCAGACATGGCTACAGGAAGTCACTCAGCAATGGCAGGTGTGTTAATTTTTTTGCTGTGTGTGTGTTCTAAAATTCATTTAATCACACAGATGTTCAACTTTCTAAAACTGTTTAAATCTAATTGACCCACGGATAGATCATGCAATAGAAATAGAGATGCAGGTGCCAAATGGAGTCCCCTCCGTCCACTTTGAGCTCCTGCCACAACAAAGACCTCCCCAAGATGCACCATATAGGCAAGTGCAGTTTCTACTTTAAATATATACAATTATTTCAAAACATATGATGATAAATCAAGTTATGTTTGTACTATATTACAATAAAGTGATTTTGTTTCCCTTTTAGATTGGGAGTGATATGTGGACGAGCATGTGACCTGTGGGATGCGTTCCTGATCATTTTATCTCTTGCTGCAATTATTGTGTTATACCTCATCATCATGATTATTCTCCATGAATACAAGTACCTTTAGCATTGCTGAGTGAAATAGAGGATGAAAGGGGATATGTCCAGGAAGGGCAAAAAGTGTGAGAGAAGGGCTGAGATTTTTTACTTTGAGATGTTTATGTTTTATTAAGATGTCTATAATCACTCAAAAAATATTATGGGATTTCGTTCAATTTGGTTTCGTTAAATAAAAGAGTCTAACGCAAAACTGATGAGTTCACTTTTGGATCCTAATTTTCTGTGAGGTAAAATTTGTGTAAAATAAATGTTTTTCATCCCCCTTCCTGTACATAGCCAAGGGCCACCAAAAGTTGTGATATTACAACCTGTTATGTGGTGTAAAGCCTGAAATTTGAATGACTGATTGATAAAACGGGTTGAATTTAAGTACCAGTAGAAATATACTGCTGTGTCAGGGAAAGGGTGGAGTCATGATTCAAGCTACATAAATGATGAGTTATAAAAGGACAAAATTATTCCAAATGCTTATCTTTTGAGTGGTTTATAGATGCAATTATGGAATCACTTGGAAGGCCTATATGTTAAGGAGAGAGGGAGAGAGAAGGCTGATTCAAGTACCAATAAAAGCCTAAAGACTCCTGTGTCGAGGACAGGTGTCTGCATCACTCTAGGTAGAAGTATCAATGAGTTATTAAGGGACCAAATGATTCCAGATTCTCATCTATTAAGTGGACCATAGATTCAAATCTGGAATCACTTTGAAGGCCTATAGTTTAAAGACAGAGCAGCCTGATTCCAAGTACCCTAGGAAGCGTGAAGGTTGCTGTATCACATACTGTAGAGTAGAGGAGAGTAAAGTAGAGGAGAGAGGAGCTCAGTGCATCATGGGAAGTCCCCCGGCAGTCTAGTCCTATAGCAGCATAACTAAGGGATGGTTCAGGACTGTAACTATAAGCTTTATCAAAGAGGAAAGTCTTAAGCCTACTCTTAAATGTGGAGATGGTGTCTGTCTTCTGAACCCAAACTGGAACCTGGTTCCACAGGAGAGGAACTTGATAGCTGAACGCTCTGGCTCCTAGTCTACTTTTGGAGACTCTAGGAACCACAAGTAACCACAAGTAACCCTGCATTCTGGGAGCGCAGTGCTCTGGTGGCGGTAGTAAGGTACTATGAGCTCTTCAAGATAAAATGGTGCCTGACCATTAAGAGCTTTGTAGGTGAGACGAATGATTTTAAATTCTAATCTGGATGTTACTGGAAGCCAATGCAGAGAAGCTAAAACAGAAGAAATATGATCTCTTTTCCTGGTTCCAGTCAGAACATGTGCTGCAGCATTCTGAATCTGAATCATTCTGGGTGTACTTCAAAGGCTGATATTTCAAATACTGATTGAAGGAATGGGTTGATTCCAAGTGCCAATAGAAGATTGAAGAAGTGGTATCAATGAGTTATGAAGGGACCAAATTTTTCCAGATCCTCATCTACTGAAAGGGCTAAATATGCAAATCTGGAAATACATTAAAGGTTAACACTTTAAAGGCAGATGGAGAGAGTGGTCTAATTGCATGTACCTAAATTTGGATGCCCACATGGTCTCTACAGAAAGAATGGGCACATTTGAGGCCATATGGCATTACCTGTCACCATTTCTGTGAGTAAATTTGTGATTCCATATTTTGATACACTGTGTTTGAATAGTGGAATCATGATATTTGCCAAGGTGGGTATGCAGATATTGTTTCAGCAGATGTTTTGGTCACCTTTTTGGCCATTGGGATTATTTTGGAGTCATCCAGTGGGGGGCAGCTCCTAGGAATCTGTACAATATGTGTCAAAATCATAACTGAATTATATTTTTTGATAACTTTTCACTTTTAACCGCAGGCTGGCCTCTGAGAGCTTTTAAATGTTAGGTATTTAGGTTTAAGCCTGCTCTAATGAGATGAAATGAGCTTTTGCATAGTTTCTCGACAGTTAAAGCACGATAGGCACACCATGTAGATAGTGTTCACAATATTAAATTATTAAAAAATCTTTAAACCATAACGTAGATAGCCTATTCATTCAAGCAAGTTATGTAGCAAACATCATCATTTTTAAATCAACTACGGCTGACATGCCAAGGCAGAGTGTTCCCTGGCATGTCGGTACATAGTATTTTAAGGCATAAAGGAGTTGGGGGTAAGCTGCAGAGTAAGACACATAAGAAAAATGTCCACTTTAAATGTTTAAATTTAATCAATGTTATTTCCTTCCATGTTTCAATCTATTGTATAATGTCTGTAGATGAAAAAATGGACTTCCTTTGTCAACAGGAAGTAGAATTCAGCAGGAGCATTGAGCACATGGTGAGCAAATCTCAGCTCAGCTAATTTATATATTTTTCTCATACAAAAGTGTTGATACTTGGTTTGTGTTGTCTTATTTCAGTGAATAACATCCCAATGTTATGTTTTATGCATTTTTGAACTTGTAAAAAGTAGTTTTTATTGCATTTTCTGTTAAAAATTTAAATGTTATCACATAGATGTAAATGTGGAATGTCAATTTATTTTCCAAATTTCAATTTACCATTGACTTAGTTTATAGATTGAAAAGACACAGCAAAAAACTGTGATGTTCTATCTATCTAACAGATTTATGTTGATTCCCAGCATGCTGACTGTGGGGTAACATGGACAGATGTACCAGAATGAGTGTGAAGGAATTGTGTGAGACCAATGACCTGGCAACTGCTTTGGTGTTGGACCCTCTGCTTGGCTTCAGAACCCATAAAATGAATATCAGTCCTCTACCAGAGATACAACATTGGGGTAATCTCAAAGAAACTTTGGTGCAATTTGAGAATACACATGACTTCAACAAGACTTTTGAGGCGCTGACAAAACTGGCTGGTGACTGTTTTAATTCTCTGGGAAGCCATCATCAAGACCTACTTAGGGAACATGTTTATCGCTACTTCAGTGCCTTCCTGTTCGACAGTGGTGTCAAGATAGAGTCCTGTGCGAGATACTCTTCAGAGACAAATGGAGCAAAGGTAACCTCTACAAGGCACTGGTTTGCAGGACAACGTATTGAGGTCTTGCTGGGCTGCATAGCAGAGTTTAGCCCTGCTGACAGCAATGTTCTGAAGGCAGGAATCAATGACTTTAGCGTGATGTATTCAATGCGCAAAGGTTCTGCTCAGCTGTGGCTTGGGCCTGCAGCTTTCATAAACCATGACTGTAAACCAAACTGCAAGTTTCTTGCTAGTGAGAAGAATATCGCTTATGTTGAAGTGATTCGACCAATCTCACCTGGGGAGGAGATTACGTGTTACTATGGTTCCAGCTTTTTTGGGGATCAAAATGAAAAGTGTGAATGCTGCACTTGTGAAGAGAATGGAGAGGGTCATTTCAAACACAGAGGGAAGCAGCTCCATTTTGAGGAAACAAAGGACCCTGTGAGCAAAAAGTACCAACTGAGGGAGAGATATCTTCATCTAAAAAGAAAAAGAAGGAACAAGCAGATTTCTAGACCAGCTCTGAAAGGTCAGCCAGAAAGAAAAATGTCCAGGGCCCAGAAAAGGCAGGGAAGAAGAACGGAGATCTCCACAGCTGAAGGTAACAGAAGGGGCAAATATTTTTGAAAGCTATTGATAAAATAATGATGGTTAGGGAGTGTAAACAATGATGAACAGGTTGGGCATGTGCTGTGTTGTTGGGCGGCTGCGGCTCAGGAGGTAGAGCGGGTTGGCCGTTTATCGGAAGGTCGGCGGTTCAATCCCTGGCTCCCCCCGGTTGCGTGTCGAAGTGTCCTTGGGCAAGATACTGAACCCCCTGGCGTGTATGAGTGAGTGTGAATGCTTGTTTCCATTTGAGCACTTAGGCTCAGTGTATGAATGTGTATGACTGGTGAATGCAGATGTAGTGTAAAAGCGCTTTGAGTGGTCGAAAAGACTAGAAAGGCGCTATACAAGTACCGAACATTTACATTTGTTATAAATAAAGTTCAAGAATCATGTCAGGAAAGGAAAGCTGTTCAAATAACAAAATAGATGGCAAATCATGTCAATAAACAATTGACAAGTAAGCATCAAGAAGGTATTGTTATCCCTTCACACCTCTAAAGTTATTTTGGCAGTGCACATGAAAAAGTTTTTATGGTTTATGTGTGCTCCGTTTTACCCTGTTTGTCTGAGCTGTTTAATTTAGTTCTCCACCAGTTCTGTTATTTAGTCAGTTCTGTATCTATTATTTAATTTGTGTTTTGGGTTTCAGTTCTGTCTTTTATCTTCTTTTCAGTTTTGCCTTTGTTCGTTGTGTTGTGTTTCACTCCCTGCCTCTGTATTCTAATTCTTTGGTATAACGATTACCATTAAAATTATTTTTGTGCATTTTAGGTTTTGTCCTGGTATGTTGTTGCATTCTTTACTTCCTGGTTTATTGTGTATTAGTTTATGTCTAGCTTGTTCCTCTTTCTGACTAGCCCCTCATGTCTTTCACCTGTTGACTCTCTTCCTGCTGTTAGCCCTGTGTGTGTGAGTATATTGCCTGTGTTTCCCACAGTCCATGTCATTGTAGCAGGTGGTTCTCAGACTGTTCTGAGGATATTTTGTGCCCATTTGGATTTCTGTTTGGATCACCTTTTTTCATTTGGACTGTTTGCTACTTTTTTGGATTGCTTTGGACTCAACCACTCTCAGTAACTGTCCTCACTTTTGTTTTGCTTTATTAAATCATCCAACTGTGTCTGCTCAGCCTTCATGTCAAGCTATTGGGTCCTAAAACCTCCTCCATGCATCACGTGCTATGACAGTGTTAAGATTTTTTAACATTTGTCTTTCTTCTTTCTCCCACTCTAAATGCACAGGCCTAACAGAAGATCTTCATTACCTGGTTGGCAGGATGGTAAGTGTATATCAGTAGGGAGTGCCCTTTATGATGGTTTGTTGACGATACAAAGCTTCATTTGTGCTATTTTTAATCATCCACAGAGTGAGCGACTGTGCGGGCTGTGTTTCCACAACTTCAGCAACTTAAAGCAACACCTGAAAGTGTCCCACACCATTCAGAACAAAGAAGAGTTCCAGCTTCTGATGAAATATGGGAATTCACGGTTGGATCAAGATAAATACAGTTTTACATGTTGTATTTATTTTTGTTATTTGCACTAATTTCTTGAACATTTATTTTTAATTTCCCACCATAGAACTAGCAAATCCTTGGAATGCCCAATATGTGGGAAGGGGAATCTCGTCCGCCTTGATAAACACTTACAAACAGCACACAACATTGGTTCAGCAGAGGTAGGAGATTCAATTTGTGAAAATAAAGTCTGCAAAATCTGTTGTAAATCATGTTTTTCCATCTAATGCCACTTTTGATGTCATGAAAAAAATTGTTGAAAGGAGCGAGAACCGATCATGAGGCAGGCCAAGAGAGCAGTCATAGTTAAAATGCTGGCAGAACTGCGTGAGTCCAACCCTGATGTGCCAATGGTATCCAGCTTGGACTTGGGTGTTACCACGGAACATGGTAATTTTAAGTTCTGTTAATGTTATGATATATATCGATGTGATAGGGGCACTGAAAAGAGGCTTAAATCATCATATCGTGTTCAAACTTTAATGACTTCTGTGTAACAACCAAATATTTCACATATAGACTGAAATTTGGAACCCAAGGGTTTAAACTTTAAACTTTAAACTATTTTAGAGGAATATGTTCTGCCTACTGGAGAAATCACTGAGGAGGCTGCATCCAAGGAACTGAGGGAGGAGCCAGAGGGATCGGAGTACAGGGAAGAGGAGGAGACCTTGAGTATCAATTCATCCTCCAACAATCATCCTCTGACTGGAAATCATTCTGCCTTCCAATGTTCCACCCCCACACCTCAAAGACAGGATCATGATTACAGCATGTCCTCCTCCAGCGACCTTCCTCAAAATACTGATCAGCTGCTGTTTTCCACCCCTGTTTCTGGGGCCCAAAATTCCTCTGCCAGTCACCAAATCCCTTCCACCGCCCTGTGTGGGTCTATGCCTCCGCCTTCATGTGAGACTGTGTCTTCTTTTAAACTATCGGGGCACTTGAGTGGCCATAGTCAGCTCTTGACTGGTTCAATGTCAAGGGACTGCATGTGCATCCTGGAGAAGTTGGATTCCAGATTGCAGAAGCTGGAAAAAAAGATGGACTGTTTGATGGCAATGCAGCGACAGACACCCACTCCGCGTAAAGCACCTCAATCTGTTCAAAAAAGTGAGCATGTCAACAAGGGACAGAAGGGCACTTTTTTCTATGGTAAGTTATTCATTCCTTGCTATTACAATTTGGGAGAGGAGAATGACGGTTATAGATAGATGGTTTTCCTTTGTTTGTTTTGCAGAAAATACTGTTGACGACTTCTTCAAGTTTCGCGTGGGGCCTGGAAGGAAAGATAGAGAAAATGCAAGGAAGTCTTCAAGCCATGCTCTTTGCTTTTGCCTCTATATGGCTGCTGGTCTACCCTCCAAGATCGTCTCCAGTGACCTAAGATTCCTGAACCAAATGGACAAGTTGCGTGGGTAAGTAAAAAAGAAAATAAGGAAACTTTTTTATATAGCACCTTTCACAGACAACAGGGGTAAAAAAGTGCTTAACAGTAAAAAAAAAAATAGAACAAAATAAAACATAAGGAAGTATTTTTCTTTCATATTTTTCTAGGCCCAGAATTATTATATATTTTTATTATATATAATATAATTTATTTTTAATCTTAAATATGGATTTAAAATTATGATCTCTGATGTTGTGAAATAGATGTAAATATGGAATTTCAAATGTGGTGGTGGAATTGGAAGTAAGAGTGGCTTGTAATGGCTTACCTTTTTCCATAGTTGGCCAACATACCTGGTCCAGAAGGGCTACGCACCCTCATCAATGAAAAACATGTTGACCAACGTGATTATGTTTTTCAAGCATATTGAAAACTCCTTCCTGACTCAAAGCAAGCTCAAACAGAATGAAATAAATAAAATCCTATACGAGCTGAAGAGGATCCAGGCTGAGATTCAAAGAACGCTGGTTGTCCACCCGCAAAAAGTGTTGTGTCGTAAAACAGGTACTTTTTATCAAGGTCTTCTTGATCTTGTTCTCTTATAAAATTACAAATTGGATTCTCATCGACTGTGGTGCATTTCGCACTATTTTCACAGATGATCAGCTTCATGCAGCTCAGGAAAACACTTTCATGACAGCTGCAAGGGAAAAAATTCCTAAACTGTTTGGTTAGTAGACTTAATTACTTATGCTGTAATGCTCGTTTTTTGGTTGCTTACATTCACAACCAACTTTTTTTTTGAGGTTTTTTTATAGAACGATTGGAGAGCAGTGGAAATCAGGAGAATGAGCATTCTAAGCTAATGGGCTACATAATGGGCTACCTGCGCATCCTCACTGGACACAGATCGGTTGTCCTCACCAACATGACAAAGGAAAATGTGGTCAACTTTGACTGTTGGAATCATGGCGAGATATTCCAAGTCCTGGTTAGTACCTCTGTTGTTTTTGGAGTTTATTTATTCCCTTCCGGATTAGTTTCTTCTTGGAGTGAAACCAATCCGTTAATGCACATATCAAGTGAAAGCTGAGGGGTTAAATGAGCAGTTTCTCTTCCAAGACAAAGTTTTCAAATTTCAAAAATAAAAATGGCTGTAAACATTTTAAATTAAACTACAGATAAATTCTGATGGTAAAATAATGCTGAAATACTTCTGTCTGGGGGGTGGAATTTGGGTTGTAAACATGTCACTCAAAAGCACAAATAATTTTTTTTGTTGGCTGGCTATTTCAGCATGTAAACTTGTTAACTAAAAATTACACACTTGACCTAGACACACAGGAATTCCTTGTTTATTGAGGGCATAGTAGGTGAAAATGTATTTTGAAATTCAAAGAAAATATCATTGTATCCTTGTAATTAACAGTGCATTATTTAATTTAACACAGTAATTTTTTTAAAGCAAGTTTCCCATATTCATATGGGCTACAAGCTCTGCATCTATTGCATCATATGGATGACATTTTGAGTGTTCAACGGCTGATATTTCAAAAACTGATTGAGGAACTAGGCCGATTCCAAACACCAACACAAGCTGGAAGATTGCTGTATGACACACAAGTAGCTGTATCACTTTAAGTACAAGTAATATTTTTTTATGGGACCAATTTGTCATCTATTGCATTAAATGAATGACATTTTGGTTGTACTTCAAAGTCTGGTATTTCAACAACTGAGAGAATGGTTTGATTCTAGGTACCAATGGAAGCTTGTAGTTTACTATATAAAAGACAGGTGGCTGCATCACTGTACTTTAATGCAGTGTTGAGTTACTAAAGGACCAGATGATTCCAAATTCTCATCTACTGAGTGGGCCATAGATGCAATTCTGGAATCACTTTGAAGGCTGATATATTTAAGACAAATCGAGAGTGCATGTTGAGTCTGAGTACCAATGGAAGCTTTTAGATGTGATGTGTGGCCTCATATCCCAGTTAATAGTCAACAGTTATTGGTGATTTGTTTTGTATAATTTAAGTGCATCCACTCAGACAAATTATGATTTTCTGAATTTCATTTCCCAAGGTTGATGACCACAAAACCATGCAGTCATTTGGTCAGGCTGCATTCAACCTAAATGAGGAGGAATTTAGGTGGCTGGAAAACCTCGTCAACTGCAAGTGCTGTCCTCAAGGTCAGGCCAGTGATTATGTTTTCCACACAATACTTGGAAAACAGATTGGTAAGGCCAGGCACTTCCTTCGTCTCGCTTGGGTGGACTGTGGAATGAAGGGCACAATCAGTTTTAACAAGATCCGGAGCAGTGTCTCTACTCAAGTAAGTACTTAATGCAAGATAGGATCTGGCCATAGGATGGTTTTTAAAGTTGTAATTGGTAACTTTTTATTTCTTGGGCTTTCCAGGCCAACCAATACCTCTCTGAGAAGGAGAGAAAACAGTTGGCAAAAGTGACGTGCCACAGACCCAGCACGGCAGAGAGATTATATGTGGCTCTACCAGACAAAGTCACGGGATATGAGACAAGGTTGCCGAGACCAAAGGCGTTAAAGATGACCATTGTGAACACCTCTGAGGAGGATGAAAACAACACTGATATGTCATTAGAAGACACACCAAAGGCGAGCACAGAGGATGAGGAGCCAATCTTTGATGACCACGAGTCCGTCTCTTCACTGTCATCTGAAGAGTTAAGGATCATGCGTAAAAGATGTGGAAGGCCTTTCCAGTCAAGTAGCGGGATTAGAATCTCCTCCAGTTGTGAGGTTCCCGCACCATCACAGGACAGCCTTCCACCAGCTCAACTTCTCAAGTCCAAGAGGCAATTGGATTTCTCAATGGAAGAAGTCTCAAAAATACTTGTCTGCACACCTTCAAAGTTTTCTTGTGGTGATGAGAAGTTGCGCCGAACAATTGCTGATGATTGTCTCTTACAAGCAAATCTTTCCAATGCCCTGCCTGGGCAAGCACCCCTTGCTAACCCACAGAACCTACCTGCACACCTGACTGAGCAGAGCACCATGTTCCTTGCAGCACAGACGGCTCTGGAGGAACCAAGTAGCGAGCCTGAGCCCCTCACTGCCAAGACCACAGATTGTGTGTCAGTGCCCCAAATTGAGCAGGTCCCAGGGAATGTGCCAGCACCCCTGAGCCCCGTACAGCAGACTCCCGACTGGCTGCTACAAATACAAGAGGAGAAGGATGCACAAACCCCAGTGGGACTGGACCCAGAATGTGTTCTGAATCTTATGTTCCAGGAGACACCAGAGTTGGTGTCTTAAACACCAGAAGACCAGATGCCACAAACCCAAGCGGAGGAGGTGCAGAAGCCCTAGCCAGGCAGGACCCTGGCATATGCTCAAAAACCCATGAAGCAGGTGACCCAGACCCAGTTGGTGCCACGAACGCCATCAGAGGAGGTGTTTGGGTTTGTGAATGTCCCTTTACCCGGGAGACAAAAATAGTGTCCCTAGGAGGAGATTAACCCTGGATGGGTATTATATTAAAAATATAAGGTTTAATTCATATGTTCATCTTTAAAATGAGAAGGAATGCTGACGTTCTGATTTATTACTTTTGTCTGTAAATGTATAATTTCCTTATAGTTGTGTCTTAATGTTGCCAGTCTATCTAGACACACTTGCAGTCTCACACAGATGCGCACACACACTCTTTTACTTTTGATTATACTTATTTACCAAAATTATTAAAAATATCTCAGCAGAATTGTTCAAAGTAAATGTTTCTAAGACCAATTTACATGCTTGTGTCTGCCTCCTTTTTTGAGTATGTTTTTTAATTTGAAAGTTGTTTTGATTGTTCTGAGTAAATGTAATGTGTTGTCAAGACCCACAGTTCTTAGGATTGTTATTTTTGAGAATAGCCATAAATGAGCATCTGGAAGTACTTCAAAGGCTAGTATGTAAACAATGTAAGGAGAGGGTGGGTTGACTCACCTATAGAAGCTTGTAGATTACTGTATTGAAGACTGGTAGCTGCATCACAATTGATAAAAGTCAGTTGGCCTCATCACTACTGGAATAAGCAATGATGAGTTACTAATGGACAAAATTATTCCAAATTTGTATCTATTGAGTCAATGAAAATTCTGGCATCACTTTAAAGGCTGATATTTTTAAGACAGAGGGAGAGAGCAGGATATTCCAAGTGCCAATCGAAGCTTGTTTATAGTAAGTGTGTGTTTGTGTGTGTGTGTGTGTGTAGGCCCTGCAATGAGGAGGATGGGCACCTTTCAGGCAATTTGGAGTTAGATGGTGTGATTAATTCCATCAAAAATCACAATTGAGATTTTTCACCTCATTAAGTGTTGTAACTACCTGAAAGTGATGATGAACAAGGAGCCTGTTGGTGGAACAAACTTTCCAAAATGAATCGATAGTTTCATTGGAAATGGTCCACTTTAAATGCCTGGAATGAATGCAACACTGTAAAGTAATTACACAAAAGTCATACAGAGTGTGCAGATGTAGTGTATTTAATATTTCCATTACCATTAACACGTAGAAAATAACACAAATCCTTATTTCATGTTGTAAATAGATCCAAATTATGTACTTCCTTTCTCACAGGAAGTAGAAAAAAGAAAACCAAAAGTCCAAGTTTAAATTTAATCAATACTGTCCTTACATTCCATGTTTCAATCTGTTGTATAATGAATACATGTAGATGGAAACTTGGACTTCCTCTTTCAACAGGAAATAGTGACTTCAGCAGGAGCATTGAGCACATGGTGAGTGTCTGTGATTTATACATTTCTTTCTGCAAAAGGGTTGATACTTGGTTGATTTTGTCTTTGTCAGTGAGTTACATCCCAGTGCCATGTTTTTTATGCATTTTCAAACTTAAAATGTATTTTGTATTGCATTTTCTGTTAAAAACGAAAATGTTATGACATAGATGTAAATGTGGAATGTCAATTTTATTTCCAAATTTCAATCTACCTACCAATTAGTTCATAGATTGAAATATGAAAAGAATATCTATATTCAACATTTTATACTTTTACAGCTACTTAGATGCTGCCCAAAGTTATTGTGGTAGGTGTCTGCCTTTGCCCCTCATTCTGGATTTTTCAATTAATTTAATTTAAAGAATGATAAAGCAGACCAGCTCTGAAAGGACAGCTAGAAAGAAGAGTGTCTAAGGCCCAGAAGAGGCAGAAAAGAGGTCTAGAAGGGGAAAATGTTTCTGAAAGGTACTGATAAAACAATTGAATGGAAGTGAAATAAAAGATTAACTTGTTTGACATGCAATGTGTTAGAAATTAAGTTCAAGAATCATGTCAGGAAAGGAAAGCTGTCTAAATATATCAAAACAGAAGGCAAAGCATGTCAATAAAAAACTTTTAAGTAAGCATCAAAAAGATATTGTATTGTTGTAGGGCAGGCAACGCATTTCAGGTCTGTTCTACTGCTAAATACCATCATAAGAAGAAATAAAAAAGAATATTTTGTGACCTGGCTTGTCTTCACACATTGAAAAGTTATTAAGTTTTTATTGGTAAAATAATAATAATAATAATAATCCTTATTTGTAGAGCACTTTTCAAAAAGAAGTTACAAAGTGCTTTAACAAGTGTAACGAATAATACAAAAAAACAAGATAAGAGCATGAAAAATTAATATAAAATTAGTAAAATACAATAAAATAAAAGGGATAAAATAAAGTTAAATAAGATCGGGAAAGGCTCTCCTATAAAAGTATGTT